TTTACAGGAGACATTGATGTTTTATTTCTTTCATTACTTTCCTCTCTCCAAATCAAGTCTTTTATAAAGAGAGAGACTATCTTTCTTTTTGATTGAACTTGAAGAGAAATGGACATGTGAAGGAATTACACAGTTTCACATTCATTTCTTATTAATACACGTTATGGGTTGACAGACTTGGGATCTAAAACATGTTGTGAGGCCAATATGACCTTGACCTTTGACCTTTCCCTACCCAAAACTAATCAGTTAATCCGAGAGTGTGAGTGAACATTTGTGCCAAATTTGAAAGTGTTCTTTTCAAGGTGTTCTTAAGATAATGCTTTCATAAGGCAAAATAGAGATTGGCGAGGTCACAGTGACCTTGGCCTTTGTATCGACCACTAAAATCCAAATAGTTCATCTTTGAGTCTCTGTGAACGTTTATTTATGTGGCACAAATGTGCTTTATGACTTGTGGATCACTGACAGGTAAAGATCATGTAACAGTGGATTTAATGTGTCATGATTAAATGTAAACGGCAAAAATGACAAAAGAAGAAGTGAAGATCTCAACTTTCAACAGCATGTCTATGTGGATATGTACAAATTTCCATAACATTGTGGGTTTTCTGATAAATAAAAACTTATAACTGCATGACACTGCTGTTGAATGAAGAGCTGTGAGGTCTTCAACACACATAATGAAGCCTTCATCACTGCTGGCAGGTCTGCTGACAGAGATCCAGTGTAAATCTAAAAGGCTACGGAAGAACACCAAGGCCTCTCCGGGACAGTCGACTGGAGACGAGACCGAGGGGGCGGACAACGCAGACAACAAGCAGGTCACCTCCACCACCAAACTGACAAAGGTCCTCACAAATACACTGATTTTTTCACATTGTGATGGAATAATATGAGTCACATCTGAATGATGGATGTTTTCTGTTTTTTTAAAACAGGAAAAAGTTGAAATCACCAGAGCGCAGCAGGCACTCATAAAGGTCATCACAGATGCTTATAACAGACACCAAATCCCTCAAGACGTGGCCAAAAAACTGGTACGTTACCTTAATATTGTTTCAAACTTCTTTCTCTTTTATCTATTCTGATTATTGTCATTTAAAATGTCCACGGATGAGCTGTTTACAGGTTGCCACAGAAAGTTTGCACATTTGTATGAAGGCCCTAAAGTAAAAATCATATAAGACAAATACTCATTTACCGTTATTTTCCTTCAGGGCCACTGTACATGTTACAGTAAAGACATTAGACTACTGGTGTTCATCTGCTGAAGTTTGGGAATGGATTGTTGACATGCTTTAACATCATCATAGATAAGACAGAGAGCATCACCACCACACTAATGGTGTAAACTGTTTACTGTTTTTGCAGCTACAGGACCAGTACAGTGCAGAGGAAAACTTCCTCCTGTTGACAGAGATGGCAACGAGTCAAGTTCAAGTCCTGGTGGAGTTCACAAAAAATATCCCAGGTATTATCATAGTTTGCAGATCCTGTAGGATACAAATAGTTTTAATGAATGCATCTCAATGTAGGGACCATGACATAGTCGTGTCAATAAAAACACAAGTTGCCTCATTATTTCTTATTGCATTGTGTGGCATCATCTCTCTGGCAGGCTTCTTGTCTCTGAATCACGAAGATCAGATCGCTCTGCTGAAGGGTTCGGCTGTGGAAGCCATGTTCCTGCGCTCAGCTCAGGTTTTCAGCAGGAAGATGCCCAACGGACACACAGAGGTTTTAGAAGAGAGGATACGCAAGAGTGGTGAGTCAGCTGATGTAGTGCACCTGAAAATGTCTGTGTCTGTGAGTTTAAACTTATCTTACTCAGGTAAACTAGAATAGAACTAGCACCAAATTACCGATGCTCATGGATATCAGCCACCTTAATATGCTTGATTTTTCATCTGGATCCATGAATTACTTCTGAAAAGTCTGCAAACTAACAAACACAATAACTGTGAGCATCTATATGTTCATCAGCTAAAATCTAGTGACACTTGCAAATTCAACCACAGAATATTTACTCCCGATTCATGACCTACAAGCCTCCCGGGCCTTTGCTCCACCAGCTGCAGCAGGTTGAAGCTGCAGCATCGTGGCAGGTGTAGTTCCACCTGCAGTCGAGCTGCCAAGTCTGGTCGGATCCTCCTTGAATAATTGATCTGCCTGATCTGTGTGATGCAGGTGGGAGATGTGCTGACCTGTTGATCTCCAGGGTGGTGTAGGTTACACATGCACACACACCCGCACTGGGTATAGTGTCACTGCTTTTAGATATGTGTGTGTGTGTGTGTGCGTGTGTGTGCGTTAGCTATCAGCTAATTTTAACCAAAGTGGCACTTGGTTAAATTCATTAAACACTCAAATAGGATGTTTCTGCTATGGAAAGTTATTTTTCTCACATAAACAACTGTCTCTCTATCTAAACATATAAGTCACATTAGATAGTTGACTGACTGGTGGTTTGAAAAATCATTGATATGTATACGAGGTGTCATTATGTCAACCAGGCCGGACAGTTCGACAGTCAGCGGCAGTGATGGCAGGAGTGTGTGTGTGTGTGTGTGTGTGTGTGTGTGTGTGTGTGTGTGTGTGTGTGTCCCTCGGCACATGGCTGGCATGAATAGTAGGGATGGGAGATATTCACACTAAAGGCCAGTCTGGGAGAATCAGGGAGCAGAGCTGTCTGAAGAGACCATTGTTTCTTATCAAAACATCAAGAATGCTATTGTCCACTTCTCTCCCTCTGAGCCCCACTGGCATTTCTGAACGCTCGATGATGAGTCTGAGCAGACAGACCCCAACCCACCCGTTAGTTTGAAATCTGAATGCAAATATTTAAAATCATACAGAGAGTGCTTTGTAATATTAAATCGTCATTTACTATTTAACCAACCTTAAGAGAAGCTGATTTGATATGAGTGGTACAATAACTGTTCAATAATTCGAATTCGCTTGGTCTTTGGTCAGAGATGTGTTGTTGTCCAGTTAAATAACACCAGCAGAATAATTCTTTATGTGGAGAGGTAGATCTGCTTCTGCCCTTTTGTGGAAAACACGTTTTATTTTCTCGGCTGCATCTACAGTAGATGAATAATAATGCAGATCAGAGAGGACTGTTGATTGACTGTCCCGGCTCAAAGTGCAGAATGTTGTGCAAGACAAACTCTTTACTCCACTTACATTTCCCACATCTCTTTCTTTAGATTAACTCTTATCTCCATCAAGGAGAGTCTATTCCCCCCCTGTCCCTATGTTACCTCTGCCAAGAAGATTTTTTTTTTTCAACATTCACCATTTTCCCACAGAATGATTCCTGGATCTTGATGACACACATTTAGGGGTCTGATATTTATGAGTGTGTGGAATTTGAAGCAGATACAAAGAGAATAGTTATAGTATAGTTTTTTGAAATAAGTTCAATATGTTACTGACAGATTACAGTGGATTTTAAACTCTATTGTTAAACTTCATGAGACAGAATCTCATGTATCAGTTCTGCTGCTGCTGTTTTCTGTTGTGAGACGTAACCACGTATTCTTCCTTTTAAATTAAGTTGTTGTTACTTTGATACTGTTTATGATCTGAAACTGCTCTAAGAAACCAAGACTTAAAGACAGCTGCACCTTGTTGTTCATAAAATAATGACTATAAAGAATATATAAAAAGCCCCAAATCTTTTTTTGTTGTTGTCATTTTCTGCAGGTATATCAGAGGAATTCATGACACCCATGTTCAACTTTTACAAAAGCATTGGTGTACTCCACATGATAGAGGAGGAACAGGCTCTCCTCACAGCCATCACCATCTTAACACCAGGTATCAACAACTTCCTAAGCCAGACAGGTTATGTCACCATGTGAGCTGTTTATACCAAAATCTATATCCACAATCTTTGATCCCCTAAAAGACATAAGTGTACCATCACTCTTCTTGTCTCCAGATCGGCCTTACGTGAAGGACCAGCAGGGTGTGGAGAGACTTCAGGAGCCCATGCTGGAGGTGCTGAGGAAGCTGTGCGTCCTGCAGCATCCTCAGGAGCCGCAGTACTTTGCTCGTCTCCTGGGCCGTCTGACGGAGCTGAGAACACTCAACCATTACCACGCAGAGATGCTCACATCGTGGAGGATGAACGACCACAAATTTACCCCCCTGCTCTGTGAGATATGGGACGTGCAGTAGGAAACGGAAAGAAAGCGTTGCCTTGGAGGTGATGACATTTAGACTTGTGAAACAAAAGTCACCATTCAACTACATCATGTGGAATGAAGTCCCTGCAAAGCTTGTGTTGTCCCACCTTGATGTCATTAGACATGTAGGGACTCACACCATCAATACGTCTATTTACTCACACATATAGAGAACTTTGAAATTATGGAGGTGTTTACAGCACAAAGAGGAAACTATTCACAGGTTTGGATTAAGCAGATTAAGACTTCTTACTGCTGTGAACATGTAAATCATCATGTAAAGCAGGTTGAAGGCCCAGCGTGATTGGTCAGACAAGTACAAACACTGGAACTCATTGAAAGCGAAGGGGTGCTCATATAACGTCTAAAGATTTTAGACGACTTTCAGTTTGATATTTGCTTCGTTTATTTTTTATGCATTAAACTTCATACAACTTGCTTCAATTAAATGCTATACATATGCTGATGTTTTATGTTCTGTCTCAATAAATTTTAAGATGAAAAGGTAAAAGATGAAGCTTGTTTTAATAAATGTTGGTCAAAAGAGAGGAACCAGCTTTTTCATTGAGGAGAAGCCCTACAAGTAAATCATCTGGTAAATCAGGACTCCCCCTGCATAACTTAAAACAGCAACTAACTAAACAATGACATTTTTTAAATAAAATATTTATGCCCATATTCAAAACTCTAATATTTCATTTCAGTGGGGAATAAAAAAACAACATAAATATTAATAAAACTGTTGACTTTCTTTCTTTCTTTCTTTCTTTTTGTTGTTACTTGTAGTAGCAGCGGCCTGAATGGTTGTTGCAGCGACAGTCATTCATTCAGTTTGTCCAGTTTATCTCTCAATTGTCCTTTCAGTGCTGAAAACTGAATTTTAACTTAACATTTAATTCACCTTGACAAAGTCAACGATAACTTTATAAATCCAATACAATGTGTGAATTTATTGAGATTAGCCTGAAATGCACAAAGTGCCATTACAGATACAGTTTATCCACAAAATAAAAAATTCCATATGAAACACAACTATCACTCACGACTCATGATGTATCTCAAATTAATCAACAAAATAAATGTAATCAATAATTCATAGTATTTATAAACACACATATTATATTTTCTTTCTGTGTTTTACAGCTAATTGCACGTTAAGGACAGAAATAACCATCCTGCTGGTTAATGTCCATAATTGTGTCATGGCACCATCTTGTGGAGTAATTTGGCAATAAATATTACAGCTGGGATGGCATTATTTACTATAAAAGGAAATAAAATACAAACAAAGTAGTAAATGCACTTATGCTATACTGACCACAGATTCAAGATTTAGATCAAGATTAGAAACAACCTACAGATTGTCTGCAAAAACAAAATTTGTTTTTTTTTATCCTTTTCCTTTTTGACAAAAAGACATTCAGAGGTGAGTTCTGTCCTGGTTGGTTGGAGATGTGAAAAGTTCTTCCCCAGGATAAACCAGGAATCCAGAAAAGGTGGTGTACCGCCCCTGGTTGCTGTAGACGGCGTAACGCTCATCCTGCTGACTGTACAGCCACACGCTGTCTCCCTGACGCAGAGACAGCAGCAAACTCTGACTCTGCATCTCCCGCCTCTTCGACGTGTCTTCATCAAACACCATCGCCTGCACCTCACCCTTCCCGGTCATCAGCTTCACAGACACGGCTTTACGAGGGTGTTTCCCCACAGTGAAGGCAAAGAAGTAAGCCCCTGGGTAGCGGCAGGTGAAAAGGCCTGAGGATTTGTTGAAATGACCCCCGATGTTGACATACTCCACATCAAAGGTCAGAGGTGGCTTGTCCTGCTGCCTGCTGCTCTGACCCATGAGTGTGGACGTCCGTGCCACAGAGAAGGCAGAGCGGGGCTGCTCTGACGCCTGAGGAGGGCACTGAAGGTGGGACAGGCCTGGTGAGGACAGGTGGTTGCTCATGTAGCTGGCTGTGGAGATGTCAGGGTAGATGAGGTAACCAGAGAAAGTGATGTAAGGCCCAGCATTGCTGTACAAAGCATATTGAGGACTCTGCTGCAAAAGCAGCCACACTGTGTCCATCTCCTTCAAACTGATCATGACACTCTGACTCTGAACTTTCCTTCCTTTCTTGCGGTAGTCATCATAAGCTATCGCCTGCACCTCCTCCCCGTTCTTCACCAGTATGACAGAAAGCATTTTCTTTGGAAACTTCCCCACTGAGAAGGAGAAGTAGTAAGCCCCAGGGATGCGACAGCGGAAGCGACCGGTGTCTGGATTGAAATCCTCTCCGATGTTGACCATAAGCCTGTTGAAAGTCACGGCCTTCTGCCTGCCTCCCACCACGCTGCTGGTTTGTGTGGCGGAGAAAGCAGAGCGCAGACCTGTTGTTACTGGAGGAGCCAGAAGGGGAGAAACTGGTCCAGAGAAAGTGAGCATGATGAATACACATGCCAGGAGGCAGTGTGCGCTCCGATGAGCTAAAAGAAAGGGAACCAGGGAAATAACAGTTACAGGTGACAGACGTAAATCACTGAGTGAGTTAGAATATTTGAGGGTTTCTTTAATGTTCAAAATTAAATTCTTTTCTCTGGTCAGGACCACCAGAGGATTCAGAAGATGAATCTGACAGGTCATCGGATGAAAGAGCGAAAACCACATTTTCTGTTTTATCTGGCATAATGTGCTTATGTCTTTCTTATTTCTTGGTGATAAAGTTGTAGTTGGTGGACTGTATATTATTGTTGCCTCATATGAGATTAGCATTGATCTTATAGTTTAACTCCCCACGAGAAAATGAAAAGACATATTTCTTTTGCTATAAAGGGAAAAGGAAAAGAAAACAATATATCAGAGAGAGTTATCTATTCTCTTCGGCCTCTCTATTGCCTTTGCTTATTTCTTATAAAATGCTATAGATGTCAAAAAATACTTAAATGAAACCTACTCAACAATAAAGTAAGTCAGTCAGTAAGTTAGTTAGTTAAACTCCTTACAACTCAAAATATATCACAGTGCACAGTTGGACTTTGCTTCATAGAAAATGTCATAAACCCAAAGTCTAACACTATTAAATAGAGTCTTTTATATCAGACTGACCTCGGCCCCTAATGTCTCAGAGACAAATATTCTGAGTTGATAAGGAAGTCTGTCTAAGCCCTGTCAATATAGATGTTCACACTGGAATCAGGCGCTGAGTGTGAGCAGCAGCCCCTGTAATGTGGCTGATACTGCCTGTTCTCTCTGTGCACTGAGAGACGGGACCAGATTAACAGCTGGTTCATCTGCTCCTGTGTGTGTTGAACAATGGAACATTTCAGAGGGATGGTGAGGTGAGGTGCGCAGGTTAGAAAGCTAAAAAGACGCCACTGCAAAGTAGAAGTGGAGCATTACATTGAAGTGTGGATGAGTGTCTGAAAATTGGTTTGTGCTATTACGATATAATACTTAATAATGCTATTTGTGGCTTTTTTATATTTTTTGTGGGGAGCGGCTCAGATTTGACTCTTGGCTGTTTCCTCTCTGCTGCCTGTAATACACATATTTTACAAAAGGCTAGTGACAGATGTTAAAAGCTAAACTGTGGTGGCACTCAGGAAATGAGTGAGATGGCAAAGGAAAAGTTTCACACTCCTGTGCAACGTACTGTGTTGTTACTGCAGCAGAATTCATGACTGTGTGAAATGTAAAAGAAGATCAGAGAATTGCTCATAATTATAACAAACTTAACAATCTCCACAGTGTCTGTAGAATTTGAGAATTGCTAAACTACTGTCCAGGCAAATTACAAAAATCTGTATATTTTCAATTCTTTTTTCAATTTATTTCTGTGTAAGATTTGTGCTAAAAGATGAACCCATTACAAAAATATTAAACCCACCTGTTGAGCGATGTCGGAGCAGAAATGACATCCTGGATTTCTTCTTCTTCTCTGTCAGAAATTTCAAATAAAGTTGTTCCAAGTCTGCTGCACCGCTAATGTCCACGTAACAGACCTGACCCCAGAAAGGACAAAGCTTTTGTCCGTGCAGATGCGTCAGGGAGGAGCTCCAAACTCTCTCCAATCTATAGCTGCCATTCCAACCTGCAAAAAACAAAAGGGAAAAGTAGCTGTGTCAGGCAGCTTTAAGTGTTATGTCTAATCCACGCTTTGTTTGGTTTCAAACATAGAGCAGCACAACAGAAGCAGTCTTGTATAAAAACACCACAAAAGATTCACTGACAGACAATTTAGACTCTGTTGAAAATTGAAACTGACATAAAATCTCATTGTTGTTTTCAAATTGTTTAACATTGAATGTGTTAAATGATTGCGGTCACTATTTTAATGTTGTAAATGTAATAGTATACATTTTGTATGATATAAAATTTATTCTGGTAAAGATGCAGTCATACACAAAATCTCATGCAGTTATATATGAAGTCTTTATTTAGATGCAGTTGTACATGAAGTATTTATTCAGATGCAGTTGTACATGAAGTATTTATTCAGATGCAGTTGTACATGACAGCTTTATATAGATGTAGTTGTACATGAATTATTTATAGGTGCAGTATTATATGATGTGTTTATATAGATGCAGAAGTACATGTTGTCTATGCATAGATGCAGTAGTATATGGTGTGTTTATATAGATGCAGTAGTACAGTAGTACATGTTGTCTGTACACAGATGCAGTAGTATACGCAGTAGTACTTGTAGTGTGTGTTTGACACTGACAGTGATCTGCTGCTCTGCTCCTCATCCTCTGTCAGGACACACAGGACCCGGAAGACTTGTGTTCGCTGTCAATGCCAACAGCGGAGAGGAGACACCGAGAGCTGAAAGTCCGCATTTAAGACGAGATGGCAAGTCTGTCGCGCAGGATCATCAAGGTAATGATTCACACTTCAGACAGCGGCGCGTGTGAGAGACTTTTCTGCGGGAGACTAAACACAAAGTCTCCGGCTGAAGCTCTGCCGGTGGACAGTTTTGTATGCTAACATTAGCACCTAGCTCGCTAACGCTAGTGTGCTAAATTAACTTCCGCTTCACTCCTGAGCTCACATACACTGGCGCTGTTTTAAGATGGCGGATAAATGTGCTTCGTGTCGGGCTCTTCTTTTTCTAAATATTCCTCTGAAGCTCTGAAGTTTCTTCTGACCAGACTGTGCTGTTAACTGAGTGGCTGGCTAACCGGGCTAACCATGCTAACACACGGTTCCATACGGACGTTAGCTAAACCCCGGCTAGCTGTGTGTTAGCTGTGGAAAAACAAGAACACCCTGTTAGTCTGGTTCACCCGGCTCTATACTTTTAATCTGGCCACACGCGCATTGAAGATGACATGGTTGCTCTCTGAACTAGTTTCCTTTTTATAATCTTATTAAATCATTATCTGTACTAACCAGTAGCTGAACATTAGCATCTTAACTTGGTCAGAAGAAGTATTCACTAACACAGCAGGGTGGTAGTCTGCTGGATCAAACTCTGGAGCAGCATCAGTTTATGTTAGCTCACTAACCAGAGAGTGTGGATGATCCTGAAGGAGTCTGGATTGAACCGTGTGCTTCAGTGTTGTTACGAGCTGTCAGTCCATTGTGATCCATTGTGATCTATTGTCTGCACCACACAAACCCAAAGCCACGTTATTTGAAGGGGGATGTCATGATGAGCTCTAAATTCACGTCTCTACCATGACAGCTGGATTATTCAGTACAAATGCACAGTTCAATGTGGAAGTTCTGTGCACCAAAAGTAAGGTGCAGGAATACATCTAAATTAAATCAGTAGTGTGACCTCCCTTTGTTAGGTAGGTTGACTCAAGCATCTGGGAGAACTTGCCACATTTCTTATGTGGGTTTAAACTGTCTCAGGTGTCTTTTCATGCAATTCCATATTGATGCTTGATTTTTGGGTCCTAGGAACTCCAGCTGAACCGTCACCATTACCTTCTCCACCAGTGTGATGACTGTCATGTTGTATATTTGCATCAATTCACTCTCACTTACCATCTATAGAAAAAAAAGTACAGCTTGCCTGTTTTGTAAAGGAAGTGGGCATACCTTATATTGAGGCTGATAAAAAAAAAAAAAAGATCATTGGAACATGATTGGTATCTAAGAGGAGTTTGCACAGGTGGGTTTGTAAGATAAACCACAGATACGGCGGTTGGTGGGAAAAGGTGGGAAGGCTGGGAAACGGTGCTCAGCGACTCGAGCCCTTGAGCCCTTAGAGCGTGTGACTGGGACTGGGAGCCCCTCTCCTGTCTGTGTTTTCACTGCATGGTTTTGTCTGTGGGTTATCTGAAATATTTCAGGAATCTCACTCCCAGTGGCATTCAGGAGAAGAGGGTCCAAAACAAGAGGGGTGGCCGTTGACAAGCTTTATTTTGTGCATACATCATCATACATCACTGGTTTTACACATTTCTTTGTTTTTTATTCCAATTTAGTCAGCTGTGATATAGCGGGTGAGGCTGTATTACATGGCCTTATAGAACAGGAAAAGTACACAGTGTTGAGTCTTAAAGGTTCAGTGTGTAGAATTTAGCGACATCTAGTGTTGAAATTGCACGTTGCAGCGGAATACTCCTCATCTCACCCTCCCCTTCCAAACATGAAAAAGAACCCATGGTAGCCTTCAGCTGTCATAAAAACTCAAAAGGTGTTTATTTTGTCCAGTCTGGCCGACTGTAAAAAAACATGGCGGCCTGCGTAGAGAGTAAATATAAAGTATTTGAATATAAAGGGCCTTTTCTGGGGTAAAGAAAACCACAATTCATACAATTTAGATGAAACAAACTAGTGAAAACATCATGAGGATTATTCTACATAAAATTTCTGCCAATAGTTCCCTTTCACCTAAATCTTACACGCTGGACCTTTAAACTGTAGTTGTCTTGTTTTAGGTTCCTCTCATGTAAGGAACTTGCATACCACAAGTCTCCTTCTCTTTCACAGAAGAGGTGTGTTTCTGTAGGCCACTTGGCTGTCAGCAGAAGTTGGGTTTTGCCTGGCTGCAGTGGCTGTAATATGTTGATAATTGAGTTTGTTGTGTTTTAATGAATACACCCTGAGGTGACTGTACCACGCCTAATTTTCGGCCAGGTAAAACCCTGCTGTGGTGAGTGTCACCTCTAAAAGAAACTTGAATACGTCATAGATTCACAACATTCAGTCACTGTTGCAGTCAACGCCTCCCTCCTTCCTTTCCTCCCTTGTTGTTAGAACAATAATGACAGTTGTTTGCAGCTCTCAATAGGGCTTTTAACAATCTTTCCAATAAATACTATAATTTCCAATAGCATATACTAATATTTAATCTTGTGTCTTCTTTCTCTGTTTTCTTTTACAAGGAAACTCAGCGTTTGCTTGTAGAGCCTGTCCAAGGCATCAGGGCAGAGCCAGATGAGAGCAACTCCCGCTACTTCCATGTGGTCATTGCTGGACCTCAGGATTCACCATTTGAGGGTGGCTTGTTTAAACTTGAACTCTTTTTACCAGAGGAATATCCCATGGCAGCTCCTAAAGTACGCTTCATGACCAAAATATATCATCCCAATGTCGACAAGCTGGGAAGAATATGCCTTGACATTTTGAAAGGTAAGTCAGCACATTAATGTCACTGCTACTGCTCAGGCACCTAGAAGATTGTGTTGCATGACCTTTTGTGAGACATAGAACCCGATTTTATCACGTCTCCAGCTGTTATGTGTGCTATACAGTGCGTTTAACCTTAAAGCAACACTAAAGCTGCTTTCAGACATGCGCTGGACTCTGTAGAAATCCAGGAGAATCCGATGTGTGAAACCTAGCAGGGATCCCCCGCTTGATTCATCAGATGCAGCTGTGTGAAAGACAGGCTCTTGGTCAACTCTGTAGTCAATTCTCTGGATTTTACCCAGAGTTCATATCTGAAAACGGCTTATCTATCAGTTCCAAGCTTCTCACAGGAGATCATACCTTATCACCAGAAGCACGGTGAACTATGAAACTCATTATGACGCTGCTATTTTAAAGTAAAACAGTTGCTTGAATATACACATATTCCTCCTCAGATAGTTACGATCACACTTGACAGAATGTGTTTCTTGTACGAAGCAGCTTTAATAGGTACTTTGCATTGGCATTGGTGATTCAGGCTTGTGACTGTAGGAAAGCATTCTATGTATTGTGCTCTTGATGTTTGGTCTATGAGCGACTTACCAATTTCAGCTTATCCAAAACATCAAGTGCCTCTTGTGTTACACTTTTTACCCTAAAATGGAGCTTCTAGCCACAATAGTTTGTGTATCACCACTGTCACTTCACAACTCCAGCGGCTTTAAATAGATGAACTATTCCTGTGCTTTTTCTTTTACTCTTTTTTACTCTAATTTCATCACATTACACTCAATTTTCCCTTTGCTTATCTTTTTCACTATTTGAGTCCCATTAATATCCATTTTTTTAATTTTTTCCCAGATAAATGGTCACCAGCTCTGCAGATTCGCACAGTGCTGCTATCGATCCAGGCGTTACTAAGCGCTCCAAACCCTGATGATCCTCTTGCAAATGATGTTGCAGAGAGGTGGAAGTCCAACGAAGCTGAAGCCATAGGAACAGGTGAGAACTAACTGGGGGGGGTAGAGTGGTCGTCCTCTTACCAGAAGGTCAACGGTTTGATCCCAGTGTCCTTGGACCCCGACTAGAAAAAAGTGCTGCCAATAGATGCACTGTGTGTGAATGGCAATAAACTGTGCTGTAAATTGGTCATCAAGCCTCACCCACTTCATTATTAACACAGAGCAAAGTTTACTGCACTTTATATCCAGCTCCTGTCTAGTCTACTGTCCATTTCAGCAAAATCTCAGCAGTACATCCTTGAGTCCAACTGAATGTGCCAAATTTAAGAAATTCCATTATGAAAGATTATGTTCACAAGAACAGGATGGACAACATGAAATGTAATCCCTCCGGTCACAGGATGTTGCCGGTGCAGAGGCATAAAAAGTTAAAGTCCAGTCCCGACTAAATATATCAGATACTGAAATATGATGAAACTGCAACACTCTCACATTTTAATAAACAGTGAAACTCTATTTAAAAGGTAGTTTTCTTTTTGAATGGCTTTTAAAATAAATCCCCATGACAGTGAAGTCCTGAGGCTAAAATGTGTTTCGTGACTTGTAGCATTAGTTTGGAGTTCACTGCAATTTCCCCAATAAAGTTTACAAAATATAAAGTTTGTTGGTGGTGTTGGTCTTTCCAATATACTTTACTGCGGACTTGGCCATTTTGAATCAGCTGTGTTTCAGAGCAGTCAACTTTCATCAGTTTGTGTTCTTATTTTGCTTGTTTGTTTTTCCCTCTCTACAGCCAGGGAATGGACCATGCTTTATGCTGGACACAAGAATAAAGTGTAGAGCAGCCTGACAAGTGGAGACACAAGTGGAAGACAAGTGTGAACCCAACTCCTCATGTTCTGCCAGGACCTCTTCCTACTTCATTTGCATTTAAAGGACACAGTCTCACATGAATAAATATCGAAATAAATATCTCTAAAATAAATACACACATATACACGTCTATTATAGAATAATCATCAATAACGTAAAGGAAAAAAACTGCAGACAACTGGTGATTTGAATGCACACTAGAGATGAAATGGCTTGTCTTTGTCCTAACCCACTACTGTTGAAATGCGTGGGCAGAGGTTTTAAATCTTCTCACCTGGTTTTCTTCACCCATTCATTTTTTGGGGGGAGGATTTTACCAACTGTGCTCAAACATGCACGTTTAGGGGGAGAGGGTATTCTGTGTCTGGGATGGGATGGGTGAAGAGGAGAGACTGGATAGATTTGGTTAATGTGGTATACATTTTATGTTTGTCTACTTTTTTTTTCCTTTTAAGGATCTTTGTTTTGTTGTGCTGCTGTTTGTTTATTAAAAGCAGCTAACCGCTACTAACCTACTGTAGACACTCAGACCAGAGTTTCGTCCTGTGAAGGTGATGCAGCAGGACGCATAAGTAATTATAATCATGCTTCTTCTTTAAGTCACAGCTTGCTTTATTAAGTTAAAAATAAAATGACTAAAAAATATATATATATATACTCAGCCTGCCACATTAACCTTCAAACACTCTGTAGACCTGGATGTAATCTTGGGGAAGGTGAGATTGAATGTGGAGGGTGTGAAGGACATTGAGGACTTTTAGTTTTAGCTCATAGTGTATGTTTTACTACCATATCCAGCCTTTTATTTGTGAATCTTTCTTATGCCATACTAACTCCTCAGCTTGTTTCCCCTGTGTGTCACCTCAGTCTAATTCTACAAGACTGTGGTCTATTTTTTCCATTGGCATTTATTTCATAAGGCAGGGATTACACGTGAGCTGTTGTTTGTTGATAATTTCAGTGGGTGTTGCGGGGCTGACCTGTGTGGGACATAGTGCTGAGTAGTTGCGGGATCAAACTCCAAATGATCGGGGAAGGCAGTTGTGACTCGTGATGGTCGTAGTTGGTCTTAGGCTGAAAAGTCTGTATTCATTTCACTGTCTGTAAATTCTTTCTCTCTATTCATCTGGGGGGGGGGGTCAACTGAACAGTTCAACTGCATACTTTTATGTTCTGTAAATAAAATCTATTGATTAATAAACAGCTACCTGTGTGGGATTCTTGATGGGGAAGACATGGAAGACAAGGCAAGTGTGAAACCTACTGTTGATGTATGTTGTATTTTTTTGTTTGTAGGGATGGCTTACAGGTTGGATTTTGTGACCTTGGTCAGAAAGCTCATGAGCAAATCCTGTGATGCAATAAGTACTTATATAAAGTACTCTTCCAAATCCAGTGTGGAATTAGAGTATAATCACGTGAAATTAAGAATTCTGTTTTCATCACTTTAGAATGAGGACTTATACTTTATATGTGGAGCTGGTCCTCTTCCACAACTAATTGTATCTTCATGCTTATTAATAATTTGGTCCTTGACTTTTCACAAACCTTTTGAATCTCGTGATGCATTAGTGTTGCTTTGGATCTGGATCAGCATCATTGGAGTTCTCTCTTGTTGTTCTACCAGATGTCTGTGGTCTTAACATTGTACAAAGTCAACACACCGACACATTGTCACTTTTGAACAAGGCTGATAGATGCAGAGTGGATGACATCCACTAGAGGGACACCGGCCTGAGCTTTGTAACTTGTACCTTCATCAGCAACACATTTCAGGCCTCACCCACTTCATTAGAAGAAGCTCACTACTGAGTTTTACCACCAGGCTGCGTCCCTGCTCTGACAGTGGTTTGAAGCTGGAGTTCAATGCTTATTTGACCTTAAATCAGCCGGGAATGGCCTTATGTTTCCTTTCAGATATTATGAGAAATGGAGCAAACATGAGAACATATAAATCAAGTAAGCCATACTACAGGTGGAATATGCAACAAAAAGCAATGGCCAAACTTTTAAACAATTCAAATAACAAAATGTCAAATGTAATGTAGCACAAATCTAATTCATGCATTCAATAAGCTCTACATTTTATTTGTATGTATCTCCAAAAGAGATAATGCTCTTCTACGGGGTTACAAAACCTGTGATAGAGGATGAAATGTAGGGGTTTGTTTTAGGAAGTCGATCACAAATGTATTCATGCATCATTTTAGTACTGGGATTGAAAAAACAAATAGACTTCAACGGCCTTAAAATGAAATGATCTTCAAAGCAGCATTAAATGCATCACTAAGGTGAGGACTGATCAGTTTTTAACCAGCTGATGTCTGATAATAATAATAATCATCAATATCGACATTAATTTTTATTTACTTCATTCACTTCTCCTGCCAATGTTACAATGGGCCTGTTTTACAAGGAAGGACATGAGTAAAGTGTGTGTGTGTGTGTGTGTGTGTGTGTGT